CGCGGGCTGCGGAGGAGCCGCGGCCCCCCCGGCGGCGCCACCTGTCCTCGCCGGCCGTGATGACACCGTCTTCCTTGGGGATGAGCAGCGCGGCGCTGACCGCATCCTGGTGGCCCTCGATCTTGCTGAGCAGCGCGGGGCGGCTGCTCTGCGGCCGCGAGTGGATCTCGGCCGCCATGTTGCCGGCACCCGTCAGCTGACGGCGGCGCGGGGAAAAGCCAAGCGGCCGCCCGTAATGTCCGGAGTAGCGGCGCCCCTCCTCCCTCCCGGAAGGACGCGCCGCTGGAGAGTCCCGTAATATCCAGAGTAGCGGCTCCTCCTCCCGAGAGGACGCGCCGCAGGAAGGTACCGTAATGTTCGGAGCAGCGGCGCCCAACCCCCGATAGGACGCGATGCTGGAGGATCCCGTAATGTCCAGAATAGCGGCACCCCATCATGTCCAGAATAGCAGCAGCGCAAGAAGGCAGGTTAAGGGGGAGAGTGACGCCTGTAATGGCAGGATTAGAAGCGCAGCTCCAGAGGCACTGGGCAGAAGCCTCCATATATGATGGAGCCAAAGACCGTCTAGTGATAGTTCTCAGGATGCAGATTCTCTGTAACCTCTAAAAGCCCCAGGGCACCTTGCCGCAGAAAGGCGGCCACCCCTGACCCTCCCCTCTCTGGGTCTGCCTGCTCCGTTCCCAACCTTCAGCCCCTGGGCTGGGGTCTGCATGGTCAGGGCACTACCGTACTCGCTGTCCAGGTCAGCGATTCTCCACTGGGTGCTGCAGCACCTAGCCCGCCCTGAGACTCTATCTGGCAGTGGCAGCGTGAAAGCTGCATACACACAAGTCACAAGATAACCCAGAGCTTTCAAATAGGACTCCACTGTGTCAACCCCCTTCTAGCTGTTGGGGCCACTGTAGAGAGGATGGAAATGGGCCGTTCTGTGTGGCCCTGGGGAACAGGACTAGGAGCAAGAGGCTCGAGCTGCAGCAGGGGACACTGGGGTGAGTCACGTAGACCACGCTGAACCTGTGGAAGGTGAAGCCATGTTAAAGTTAGAGCCCGCTGTGAGCAGTCACACATAAGGGTTAACAGTGTTTCTTCTTTCCTGACCACTAGAGGCTGACAAGCAGGGGCATGGTTAGGACAGGTGGGCTCTATCCCTGCTGAAGGGTGGGGGGAAGGGACTGGGAGTGGTGCATCCTGAGATGCTGGAGGACTGCAAAGTGCTCATTTTATCTCTGTGAAGTGGACTGAAGTTGCCCTAACATGAGTTGGGGCACATGGCCCAAAGTTAACTGTTGCCAGGAGCAGCATAATTTTGAGATGCTCAGAGGACACTTAGCACCAGTGAATAAGCCGTAACGTGGATTCTCACATTTTAAGTGCCTTTAGTGTGGTCTGCGTGTAACATGTAATTTCATCCTTAGTTTGGAGATTAGGAGGAACTTTTGGACATTGAAACAGGCTACCAAAAGGAATTGCGGAATCTCCCTCCCTGGAAATTTTCAAGACCACGGTGGGCAGACACTTGGCTGGGATGGTTTGCATCAGGAATGATCCTGCCTTGAGTAGGGGGCTGGACTAGATGATCTTGTGAGATCCATTCCAGCCCTATTTCCTATGATCGTAGTATTTTTCCATAGTCATAAAATGAATGAAAACTAAGAGCCGGTATTTTTCTAGGGCTGCCTTGAGTTTAGTGAGGGATGCCTTGAGGAATGCCTTAGTTGAAAACCACAGATCTAGGGCCTTGAGGCTTTTGCTTTCTTTCCCATTCAGTAGAAGTGTCACAAATAAATGATGGCACTTCTCAATTGTCCCGCTCCTTACACCCAACACACATTTGGATGTTTCACAGTAGTGAGACTGCATTTGAGATCAGCAGAACCCACAGTCTTATGACTGAGGCCTTTAAAACCTAGTCTACACTTAAAAGTCTTATAGTACAGCTGCAGTGTATGCAGTGTATACACTATGTCAGAAAAACACTGTTCTGTTATAACCACAGTTTATAATAGTGCTTTATATTGATGCAGTGAGCAGTAAAAGTGATGCCAAGAAAAGCACTTTATGCTGGTATAATCCTATCTACACTAGTGTAACAGCTGCTGCTGGATTTGCAGCAGGGCTCAGGGTCCCTGCAAAGGCACAGAGGCAAAGTTTGCAGAAAGTTGTTGCTTGCAAGAGCATATGCATGTTTTTGATTGGCTCCTGAGGCAGGAGAAGGGAGGAAACTCAGCTGAGGACTCAGCCAGGCTCAGAGAAGGGAAGGAGCCCCCGGACCACAGAGTTTGGGCAGAAGCCTGCCTGTGAAGTGAACCTGCCCTTAGTGACAGGGAGAAGGTAACTTGGTATCCTGTTTCCCTCTGTGAGGCAGAGGGCCCATGTGGAGGAATAAAGGGTGGTGAGGTGGACTTGTGTAGGAGGGCAGGGTTTTGACCTGGGAAGAGTTAAGTGAGAACCAGCCTGGGGCCAGATAGGTGATAAACCCAGGGTTGTTTCAGTTATCAGCACAAGGGGCCGTGTCTGGGGATTGGAGAAAGGTGCTTTTGGGGAAAGGGAGACAGTGTGTGTTTCTTTGCAGATACCACAAACAGCTGAAGCGAGGAAAGCTGCTCTTCCCCAGGCAGGCTCTAGCAGAGAGCAGGGCTTTCTAGACCAGCAGCACCAGCCATGGGTATTGTACTGCCAGTGTGAA